AGGTGCAGGTGCAGGTGCAGGTGCTGTTGCTGCTGCTGCTGCTGCTGCTGCTGCTGCAGGTGGCGGCGGCGGCGATGGTGTTGGTGTTGGTGGGGTTAAGTTTTGAAATGTTTATAGAACACTTAAGACTTATGGAAACGTTATAGAACCCTTACTAGAATCTTTTAGAAACCTGCTGGAACCCTTGCCGAACCCTTATTGGCCTTGGACCCTTATGGAACCCTTACACCCTTTTAGAACCCTTGTAGAGCACCCCAACAACCCTTATAGAACCCTGGCTTACCTTATAGATCCTAGAAGCCTTGTGAGACCATCTAGATCTCTTATACGAAACTTCTAGAACCCATATTATAGCATTCCGTATGGAACCTTTCTGCAACCTTTACAAGGACCCTCAAAGACAGAACCGATGCAGAATCCCTAGGCAACCCTTACCGAAGCAGAGTGCTCGCAGGACAAAGCTGCCCAAGGCAGTGTTCGGCACCAGACACAGGTGGATTTCAGCGTCGGATTCGTTAGGGCTGGTTATAAAGATTCTTGGGCCGTCATGTGCCTCATTCGTACGGATCTTTGTCTTGTCAACCCGACCCTTTTAAAGGCACGATGTTCCAGCAGTTGCGTCCAAGTTTACTTTGTCGGCTTGCAGAGGTACAGTACCTGATGTCAAGGTAATAGCAGAGTAGTGGCGGTGTTCAGTCTCTCAACTCTAAACCCTAAACCCTCAAAAATGACAGAATTCCCAAAGACATGCATGACACACGGCAAGGTGGGTTCAAGCTGGATCCGCCGAAAGCTGACAAAGCTCCTGAGAGACATTCTCAACAACGGCTCCTTGATGCTTTATGTGGAAGCCTGGGTTCAGACTCAGGGTCTACAGGGCAGTGGCCGGCGCTGACAAGCGCTGAAAACAAAGACTTCCTGGGACATGTAGATCACATAGATGCATACATAGCCTGGGGCTTTGCTGATATCCGCTCGAGCTGCTCTCGGCACGGGCTTGCAGGAAAACTCATGGCGCTTCCTTTGCTCTACCGAATCCTTTTTGCCAGTGCAACCCTCCAGGTGAGCTCAAGGGTCCTGCCTTAAGCAGCGAAAAACTTTGTGGGGCGTGGCGCATTCCCTATCGTGTGACCATTCGCCTGTTCTCCGAATCTCTGGTGGTGTCCAAGTCAAGAATACCCTGCAATGCCTGCTATAGAGCCAAAACGCAAAAAGGCCTAGCCAATACCCACACTCTCGTGGCGTACGTTCCAGGCATTTTGCAGCATGTAATGATGAATGATAACTAATGTAATGCTTCTTGCAAGTACGCATGCACATTTTTTTATCCTGTAATCATGGCTTGCTGAGGAATGCAAATTTGCATCCACGACTTCGAAATCCGCTACGAAGACGATACGTCTGGAATATGCGGACCTTATCGGATCGTAGGCTGGACAGACTTCTCTTGAGTAGGGTTTAAACGGGGCGTGCGGCCGGGATGCCGACCACGCAGTATGCCATGGTGCATGTAAAATCATAGAAAAACACAGCAAAGAGCAATACAAAAGTTGCACCAAAACCTTAAACCCTACACGGTGTAGGATGCAGCATCTCTTGGTCTTAAGCCTAAGCCCGAGCGAGAGGGTTGTAGATTTGGCTGTGCGTCCCAATCTAAGCTTGACTTGAGGGTTCTGTAGGGTCGAGGAGTCTAGGCTAGTCTAGGGTTTAGTTTTCCTCATGTCTTCAACCCTAGTTGACCCTGAGCCGGCAGCCAAGCCCGTCTGGAAGCCCCCTCAGCCTCGTGCAGAGTTCCGAGATGGAAGTTTCAGAAAAACGTGGGTATCTGATTCCAAGATCTACTAACAAGGGATCCCAGAAGATTCCCTGTGTGTTTGTCTTTATATACCCAAAAACCCTAGACTTGAGAGGGTCCCTATGAATCCCTCAGTCCTACAGCGTCGAAGTACAGGGTCCTCTAAACCCTAAACCGGTCACTTACAGTATGCTGTAAACACTCCTGATGCAGGTGGATTCGTCGTCGACAGCCTGCAACTTCGAGCAGTCAGCGCAGGCTGGATGCTGGTTTCAATCATATGTATCTATATATATATATATGTACACATGTGATTTGGGGTTCCTGAGGGACTGGAGCTAAAAGGTGCACTGTCACGAAAAGACCAAAGTGCGAGCTAATCACGTGTTTTGCTCTTACTCGGGGCACTCTGGGGCACTCTTCAAGAAGCTGAATTGAGTAAATCAGTAGTCATTTTGCAGGGCATATGACTGAGTTCAGCGGTTTTGGTTAAGGATGCAAGGTCGCACATTGTACGCAGTCGTGCTTGAAGTTGAGCTATCACATCATTAGAACCTAGCTTTAGCATGGCAGGTTCTGGACCTCGGTGACTTTGTTCCGCATGCTGGCATCCGCATATTTTCCTACCGTTGTTTGAGTTCAGTGCTGAACCTTCGACCTTATCACTCCGATTTGGCTACTTGCTTATGTCATCATAGTTTGCCAGAGACACTTCAGGTCCGAAGACGAATCCAAAAGCTTGAGCTTAAACTCTCGCACTGGCATCTATCCATGCGTGGCGAGGTCAGGGACATGGAGACGAAACGCATCTCTTCCGTGCGAAAGGCATTTGGTTTTTGGGGAGTAGGGTGCGTTTCTGGCTGAGGGCTCGGAAATGGGTTTGACTGTTTCTTTGTCTCTGGGATTGCCAGCCTCTTCCTTGGGTTGAGGAGTTTTGAACATGTGACGTGACCGCTCTGCTTACAGTTAGGTATACTTCGAGTCTTAGAGAAGTATGCAATGAGCAACAGCGAGAATCGTGACGACACAACTACGACGACGACGACTACTGCACTGGTACTTCCACTGCTATTGTTACCGCTACTGCTGCTATTGCTGCTGCTACTGCTACAGCTACTGCTGCGGCTACTTGCACTCCTCCTTCTCCTGCTACCACTACCACGACCACTACCACTACCACTAGTACTATTGGTATTCGTCTTATCGCCTTGGACGACGACGACGACGACGACGACTACTACTACTACTGCTACTGCTACTGCTGCTACGACTACGACTTTACTACTACCACTACTACTACTACTACTACTACTACGACTACTAGTACTACTACTACTACTACTACTACTACTACTTGCTACTACTTCTCCTGTTGCTGCTGCTGCTGCTGCTGCTGCTGCTGCTACGTCTACCTCCCACCACTACGACGACGACTACTACTACCAATACCAGCACTGGGAGTAGCAGAGTAGCACAGCAGCAGCAGCAATGGTAGTAGCCGTCGTCGAAAGAGGGAGGAGCAGCAGATGGTATGTCAAGTGTTGTCGTGATGATGCTAGTGCCTAGTGCTAGTCTGGACTTGTGCAGTAATTTAGATTCCGACTTGCGCGGCTTGTCCTTTGCAAAATCTGCAGGAAACTCGTTCCGAACATCCCTTAGGCTTCTGAGCTGTCAATCAGCTCACGTCGGACTCGTCTCCTCAAAACACCAAGATCAAAATCGCTCACAATCTACACACGGCAGTGCGTAACACCTGCCAAGAGTCGCATGTGAAGTGCGCATTGTTCGCTAACGCGAACGAGATAGCCGAGACGACATTGACAAGGCTAGGGGGTCGGTTCTGGACGCTGGGAACCGCCCGGCCGGCAACATAGAAGATACCACTGCGAGAACCGCATGTTGGTGCTCAACAGATCAACTAAACTTTCAAAAGTGCACCTTGTCCGCATGCAAAACTTGAAACTTCGAATAAGCTGCTTGTGAATCCGAAGAAGAAAAGGTAGTTTCGCTGGCCCACCTGCGTATGCAGTACCGGCTCAGAACTGTCATCTCTCATCCCGAAGTCCAACTGACATCGCACACAGAGACATCACACATCCGTGCTGCACTAGTTCGGCACTGAATTCGGTACGAGACCCCTCGAGAAAGGAGCTTCCATCCAAGTCGCACAGTTGTTGATAAAGGGGCAATGGTGATCAAATCGCAGCACGCAGTTGTCACAGTCGGCACAGTGCGAAGCTCGCGGAGGTCGCACAATGCGACATGTGCTGCACCACCTGCAGATCCAAGCCCCAGACGACGAGTGGCATCCACATCGTACGCTGACTCAACTCAAAAGAACAGCACGCCGCGCCCCGAGTCTCGAGCCTGTAGCCCTGTTTCCTCAGTTCTGGTGGTATGCTGACACGCTCAGTGCCATCCCGAAGCTCGCCCCGCTCGGTGACCTCACTGCAAGCAAATTTGACGCTAGCAGTGTGAGGTGACAGCTTCAGTTCACATAATCAGCCACGAGCCAGCGACGAGCGAGTGAACCAAAATGCTTTTGCGCACTATGCCTTTAGCAACATGCAACTACAGTATAGTGCATTCATCCGTCCATCTATAAATCCCTGAACCCATAAACCCGGACATCTGCACATCCATAATCACTCCTACGTCCATGCACCCAAACGTACATACATACATACATGCATGCATGCGTACATACATACATACATAGATGTGTACATACATACATACATACATACATACATACATACGTGCCTATGTGCATACGTGCATACGTACACAAACATAGGCACACAGACATACTGATAGACAGAAAGATGAACATACCGACACACAGACAGATAGACAGACAGGCAGGCAAACAGACATGCACATACAAACACACACGCACACACACAGACACACATGTTGAGTGCGAGTTCATGTGTTTTGTGTGCTCGGAAATTGGATGTGCACCTTCCAACTCTCGGTCCGTCAGTGTGAATAGTAAACACGTATAGACACAGTGTAAAATATACTTGAGAGCCACGGGCTGGGAC